TGGATGAGGCTTTACAGCATGCTGCTGTTACCTGGGAAGTCGTGGAGAGGCATGTGGGGCTGACAGTGGTGCCCGATACAGATCATCACAGCGTCAAAAATATGCTTTTCTCTTTTGCCATCCTTGTTCTCTATTTCAACGTCCCACTGTCCCGAATGAGAAAAATCTGACCTCTGCTTCAGCTGCAACACTTTGGTCTGGCAAAGGAAGACAAAAAAAAGTTGGGGGACAGCAGTAAAAACCTGGAGGAAAAGCTTTCTCGGCCATTACCTCCATTTAGAGGACTCAGCAAAGTAAATGATTGCAGGGAGAGTCAGGAAAGCATCCTCACATTAAGGCGGATGTGTTTGGTGAGCTGGAAGTGGTCAGCATACATCCGAAAGTAGTCCAAGATGAGGGAGTTGTGCATGAAGTTTGGGAAGTGCGCGGGGATGGGAAAGTCACTGAAAGTCATCATTTCTTTGGAGGTGTTGATGATGACGGAGTGGTAGATGCTGGCCCTGTCCGACTCAGGGTTTTCCTGGATTGATGGTCAAAATGCTGAATCTTATTGCAAAACAAGCACTGTCCAGAAGGCATGCACGGTCCAGTAGCTCACCTTAAACCTCCACAGGCCACCGATGTCATCACTGCTTTCGAAGCAGACCGGATCCAAGCCCTCATCCAGACAGCACTTTATAGATGTCAAACCAGAACCACCCGCACCCACGATGGCCACACGACGACGAGACATGCTTCACGCTGTGGAAAACATTCAGAGGTCTCTTAAAAAAAGAATGAATCCAGCAGGAAAGCATGCAGAGACTTGGAATTTCCTCTACCTACTTAATCTGGATGATTAAAGTAGCTTTCAACCATCTGGAGTTTTACGGGCAAGCCAGTCGTTCACTTCTTGAATAGCTTAATAGTTTATTACATAGACCACAAAACTAAAATTGACCAAATCTGTTCTACATCTCTTCAAAACCATTTAGTGCATCTTTTTGGATGTATCCCAAACAAAGCCCTGTGCCCTTTACATGCTGTTCCATCCTCGTCCATCTGCAATCTAACAACATCATTTATGGTGTCTAATATTAAAAAGTTGCCACCGATTACGTCGACATGCATAAACATCTTACCTGGTTCGGATTGGGCACTTAGCTTCTCAGTGGTCAGAGCGCGACCTGTGGGTGTGCGCGTGTCAGAAGCGTCTCTGATGTACTGCAGCGGCTATTAATACAGGGAGACCATCTGACCGCTATCAGACCTGGGGCGGTGCTTCGGGAGGACACCCCCCCACCTCCCCTTCCCCCGGCCCGGATGGGCGAGAGCTGGAGTCTCCAGGGAGACGAGCATCCACCAGGTCCGAGGAGGGCTGGAGAAAACGGACCTACCTCTGCTCATAGCCAGATGGGCTCAGGAGCAGTCTGCTTTGTTAAATGTGTTACACTGGGTTAGTCATAAAAAACTTTACAAGACCGACTGACTGAAGGGATGTATCACCTGAAAAATATCGAATAAAATGTTGCACGAATGGCTTTATTTTCATGTTGACTTTATAACTTTATGACAAAATGGTTGCGCCATTTTATTATAATTATCATTTCTATTACTTTTATCATTATAATTTATTCATGTATTTGTGATGTCTTGTGTGACCGATTAATAGTTTTAAGACGTTTTATATCTATCTATCTATCTATCTATCTATCTATCTATCTATCTATCTATCTATCTATCTATCTATCTATCTATCTATCTATCTATCTATCTCATATTTTGTTCCGTGTTCTGGGGATGAATCCGACTTTTTTGCTGGCAGCGATTCAGACCGGTTGGCTTATTTCCCCTTATTTCTCTCTCAGCGGTGTAGTTGTTCTCTCGGTTTTTTTCCTTCATGGATCTCAAAATTTTCCGTGATGTAAAATGATGAGCTTTGTCATTTGGGTGTGAGGGGCCCGGTCCTTTGCCCGCCCCCTGGCCCTGCTCTGATTGGTTCTGCTAGTGGGTCGGACCATTATTCCATGCAATTTCCAACTATCTTTACTGTGACAAAGTGTAGAATCGGAGTGAGCGATCAGACAGTGAGGGCCGAGGTAGTCTGGTGTCTGATGCTGTACCCCCATCATCAGAGCTGCCCACCCTAAAAAACAAAGGATTTGATTCCACAAACTGAGGCTGCATCACAGTGCCAAAACTGCCAAACTGAGCACCCTTAAGTTGCTTAAGCTTATATATATATAAATGTGAATTTAAAAACAATTAATCAAAATGAGTTAAATGTAAATGTTTATGCTCTTTATTCAGAAAACCCTCATGTCACATCTACTTTTCAGAATCCGTTATTGTGGACACAGATTACATGTTACATTTCAACGTTTATATTCCAGTAACAGAGTTACAGGCTTTAGTAGCTGAAAACACTCAGCATTAAAAGTAAAGACGCTGGGTTTGGTGCTGCCTTATATCCTAAACATCAGGAGTAAACATTTGTAATCATCACTTTAAAAGTTAAAGACGTTTTTTTTGTGCCTATTTGCTTCCCAGATATATTAGTGTGTGTGTGTGTGTGTGTGAATGGTTGAATAAGATGCATTAACTTAAAGCTCGTAGCAGAAAGGTGCTTTATGGAGTTCGGTCCGTTTCCTTTTATCAACACAGGGAGGCCAAACAGAGACTGATCAGACCCTTTATTTACATAAATTACCAACCCCGAATTGAGTCTCTTTTACATCACCTCGAGTTTAAATTGATTTTATTGGCCCAGAATTATGAAATTATTGAAATCTGTGACAGTACATTTATTCTGGATCAGTGGAAAAAAATCCTCTTGGATGTTAATATTAAGTACGTAAGAAAATCAGGGCCACTGAAGTGAGCATTCAGACTTTTTTCTCAGAACTTTTTTTTCTTCAATTCCCTTAATCCTCTCATGTCATTAAGAAACAATGCAAGCAGGATTGAGTGGTTCTTACACTTTGTAATCCCATCATTCTAAAAACATCTTTGACCACTGGTGTCTGAAACATTGTGAGGAAAGGTGGTTATTGAGAAAAAGAAGATGCAATGTGTTTACGATAGAGGAGGCCGCACAGCAGGGCAGCACCTGAAACACTTATGATGATGCTGAGACCGGAGGAGGATTTAGTGTCAATTTCCGGTGCCACTTTAGTGCCGAAAGGCTGAATCACCCTCTGCCACTGAGTCAGAATAGCTTCACGGGCTCCTGCCCACATGCCTGGTCCGCTTATGCGGTACTGGTATGATGTACAGGGACCCAAAAAGACCTGCAGTGCTAGTTTGGGATCACTCAGAAAGAGCCACAGTAAGTTTGGTTTAACTCCCACCTCTTTGGCCAAAGAGTCCATATAAGGGAGGTAGTCCACCTGTAGGGGGTTGCGCTCGGAGCACCTAAATCTAGAGCAAAACAAAAAAAATGAAAACAGAAAGGAGAAGGAAATCAAAAGTTGCTAAGAGATGTATTAAATCCATTATAGTCTACTCAGACAACTGTCTCAACATTTGTGTGAATTAACTTTGAAGGGTAATAAATGGAAAAAAGCCCCAGAATTCTACTGTACCTCTGATTCATTGTCACCGTTTCCTTTTTGATTTCCTTCATCATGACCTCCTCTGCTGGGAGGGATATCAAGCCTGCAAGGACATACAGTCGAAACACAAAGTGGCAGCGCCCAGTTATCCACAGGGTTTGTTTCTTCCATCTTTTCCCAGTATGTCACACGTTTGTCTTTATTAATATGCTGAAACAGCTCTTGGATTTATACTGAGCATGGTGACATCAGGAAGTTGCATCTGTATAACTGAGATCATTTACTTATTCATTGTTAAGTGCAGTAGCTAAATACATTTTCTGTCCAGTTGGCGTAGCTGAGAATTCTATGCCAAAGAAAAAGTGTTTTATTAAGAAAGTAACTTGGCTGGAGGGGGCACTACACAGTTAACTGCCAAGCCACAGAATGGAGTTGGAGCCTTAAATGGTTAAAATTTTGCCAGATGACTTTTAATTTTTCATTGCCTTCAGCTCCAGCCGTCTGGGGTCGATTTAAACAAATATAAGGTTAGAGAGAGATGCCGCTGAACTTAGTGAACTTATTCAGGGTTGAATAATGTAGCCCGGGTGGAAAATAACCAGCGAAGTTAAACATTACCATCTCAGTTTCTACACCAGTATAATGAAATACTTTAGATAAGTGGACCTGTCTATTAGCTTGTTAAACTAGTGCGGCGCGTTACCTTTGAACACTCTCGTGGCCCAGCGGGCCTGCATCTCAGCCAGAGAGTTGACTGCCCCAAAGCCGTGGATGAAGCCGACCACTGCCAGTGTGGGCTTGGTCAGCAGAGGAGAGAACACATGCCTGTAGAGGCAGAGCCTGTGCTCGCATTTATCCTGCAGGGCTGGAGGCAGGAAGGGAAAGCTGTAGTTGTACCCTGTGGCAAATACCACCACGTCCACCTTTGGGACCAACATGTCAATGAGATCAAATAATGGAACTGCTGATACATCGTGCAAAATACAGTTTACCAGCTTTGTTAATATCCACCTTGTCTATGGTGCTCCCGTCAGCGAAGACCACCCTGGTATCACAGAATTCCCTCACATTTGGTTTCACCTGAATCCGGCCTGAGAGGATCCGAGCTGGAAGGTCGTCGTTCACCACTGGAATCTGTGCCCAGAAGCTGCAGGCAAACAGCAGGGACGGATGAGAATGGATTCACCGAGAGGCAGGATACAATAATATTCAAATTATTATTATTATTATTATTGGATCACAGTGATCTGTTTTCGTACCACCATTACATCACCTTTAGATTGTTTGTAATATATTTCATTTGGAGCAACCCAGTGGGTTTTAGAGTATAACAGATACTGACTGAAAACATTATTTTTGTGAGTTTCCATTTTAACGCCCTCTGCAGGACACATGCCAGATTTCTCCAAAAGCAGAAATATTAATGTGCCTCTCAACCGCTTTAGCTCTCATTTCATTATTATCAACAACACCTTTTTTCTACACAAAAATTAACTTTGAGTCGACAAGTCAGGTCCTCAAAGCTGCATCCTAAAAACAGGCCATGTGACATTACCTGTGTTTTGGTTTAAGGCCATATAGTTTGTGGTCACATGTGTCATTCAACTTATTTTCCAGCTTCCTGTTGATCCACGAGGGAAAGAGCTTTTGTAGCATTATATTCAGTCTGGAAACCATGACCACGTCAGCTGGAAGTCCCCCCTGCCCCACACGGCCAATAACCCACGCCCCACTCCTGGTGCTGAGGTAAACCTGCAGGCCGGGAAAGGACGGGGACATGTCATCAGTTCAGATTTGAGATTTTTTTACCTTATATTTGTTATTTTTGTCATTGTTCAATGTAGGGGCTTATTTTAAAAAGAAAGAAAAAAGTTGTTTACCCGCTCAGCAACTCTGCTGATATCCACAGCTATATCAGTTCCAGAGTTCCCAATCCCAATCACCACCACCCTTTTTCCCTGTAGACCATCGGCATTGCGATATTCCCAGCTGTGGAAATATCTCCCTTTGAAGTTATCAATACCTGTTACACAAGAAAATATGCAAATATGATGATCAGATTGTGGGAATGAAGAACCTGTTTGAAGAATCTGTTTGTTTGCAGAGTTGGAGGAACAGTAGCTGAGGTATGACATTGTCTGTTTTTTAAACATACCTGCAAACTGAGTGAGCGGCAGGTGAGGCTGGGTGTAATGCCCAGTACAAACCAGAACTGCATCAAAAACATGCTTCTCCCTCTGACCCTCTGCGTTTTCCGTTTCTACTTCCCACTGTCCCGTCAGGGCAAAGTCAGCCCTCTGGCTCACACTGACCACTGCAGTCTGAGAAACACACACAGCCATGAGAACCTGCAGAAAACCCTGCATCTCACTGGTCTTCTTAAAATACTTTATGCACTGTCTAACAAGAGCATCCCGATTTTGGAAGAAATATTGTGTATTTGACATGCTTTGTATGTTTTTTTTTAAGCACAATATGGGCTCAAATTTTTCATGAAATCTTTCTCCATACATACAGAGTATCTGAGCAGTTTCACTCACCTTGAAACGTATGTACTGCAGCAGGTTAAAAGCTTGAGCGTAGAGGCGCAGGTAGAGCATGACTTCAGAATGGTGCATGTGGTTGGGGAGCTCAGCGGGAGGCGGGAAGTTGCTGAAAGCTATCATCTCTTTGGAGCTGTTGATTATCACGGACTGGTAGATGTTGGCTCTCCCAGGTTCTGGCTTCTCCTGGAGATCCACATTTTGCATAAAGATTAAAGATATCCTTCAAAAACAGCACAGCTGGTCCTGGACTGAAAACGAGAAAAGATCTCATGGTTCATGGTAGACTGTTGCAGATGCACATCAAAAAGTACTGGACAAAAAAAAAAAACTTCAATTACTTCAGTTGTTTTTACAGATAAATCACAATATTATAGCACAGTGCAACCTGAGCATTAGCAGTCCATTCTGTTACCTTAAATCTCCACAGTCCTCCAATGTCTTGGCTGCTCTCAAAGCATGTGGGCTCCAGACCTTCATCCAAAGATGCTTTGATGCTGGTCAGACCAGAGGGTCCTGCACCAATCACAGCCACTCTTCTAACCATATCGGACACTAACAGCAATACAAACACTGAGGAGTAACTAAAGTTTGAAAAAAGACAAACTTAGTCGTTTGTACAGTATTTTGTAGTCCTGTAATACTTTATGCACACTCCTATGAGATTGAATAACGGCAGCTGGGCTTAGAAGAGGCTTCTTCAGTTCCAAGCTACACAATGGGGAGTATGAGTTTAAGCAGTTAAAGACGTGACAGTCACATGTGTCCCCCTGGCCAATGTGTGTGCGTCCTTTCAGTCGTTGTGGCCGGTTTGGTTTTGGCCACTGCGTTCAAGGTGTGAATGGGTGAAAAACTGCATTTTAAGTGCTGGAGAAGTGATACCTGTTTTTTTCCAGTTTGACTTGAAGGTCCTCCCTGATCTGTCTTTCAGACATCTGAACATGAACAAGAATGCATTATGAGAATGCATTATGTTGATTGGTTTAAAGTGCAGTTTGAAGTCTGAAGTGGTTTGATGGCATATTATTTTAGAGCATTTTAGAGGTAATACATTCATTTTCTCTATAACTTCTATGTTACTATTTGTAATTCTGATTAAATTTTAAAGCAAAAAGTTAAGATTTTTTAAAAGACACCTAGAAAAAAATTAGGTCAGAGCCCAAACAAATGTCTGAGTTTGAGGCTTTAACCTCCCTCCCTCTGTTGCAAACACTCAATGCATAACATATTTTATCAGCTTGTTGTTTACATTTGAAACACAGAATCAATATGAACACAAATGTATATCAGAGCGAGCCTTACGTATTTTTCAGAGAGGGGGATGAAAAATACACTCAAATGTCCCATTGTTCTGTCAATCAGTCAGGTTTTAACACACAAGCTCACAGGACAGGCTGATGATTGATCAGCTGTGGGTCCTCAAAGTAACTCAATGCACCATGAGATAAAATCAGCATGGTTGCATTCTTCAGTCTAAAATCTATCACAGGTTATGAAATCAAATTATCTGTGTGTGATAACTACACAGAAACATATTTACATCAAACTGGGATTATGCCCAATAGGGAATATTTCTGTGCACACTCACACAGCATAAAAAGTAAGAGAACCTTTTGGCAGCTTGCGAGTCTTGCGAGTAATTTGGAGTCTGCCGACTTTCAAAGGTGAAGATAATCAGACTTGATAGGTTTCTGATTGCTGGAACAGTGGTATGGAGTAGCCACATGGTGGAAACGTTGTTCGGGTTGCAGACCATGAGTGGTTTGTCTTATCTTCCGCCAAGTTCCACACTGAAAGGGAATTTTGGTCAAAAGTTGGACAATGCAGTCTTTATTTGTTCAGATTTTGTCATTTAATTGATTGTCCATTCACAAAATGGAAATGTAAGCCATCAAACCAGTTCAAAACACATATAAGGACATTTCTTAAACGTATTAAACAGGACATTTCCATCTAACTCCATTGGGATCAATATTAGATCAATACCTGAAAGGCTTTCCGAAGGATTATCCTCAAAAAACAACTTTGACATCTTTGTCTGGAGGAACTTATTATGAAGTATGTTAAAAAATGCTGAACAAATTGATGGGTGACACTTAGTGGACAAATGTAACTTAATGGTTCTAAAAACTGTAAAATGATATAACAGAAATAGTCCTGCTGCACAACAAAATAAAAATTTTTTTCCAGAAGTACAACTGCTGTTTTTCCTATGTCTCATATTTAACCATATTGTTTTGTAATGAAAATCCAATGACATTGTTTTCTTTTTCCCATGATTTAATGTGTTAAAAAAAAACAGACGATGCAGAGAAGAAGAAGATCCATCCAAAGATGAATATAGAAATGGAATGCCTCCATATCATCATGCATTTTTTAAAATGTCAGCTTCAGGACTAACCAAAATTAAGGTTGAAGTGATGGTGAGGTGTTGGCTGTTCATGACACTGACACCCCCTTTCAGTTGAAACTGACACAAATCAGAACAGATTACTTTCTATGATACATACATACATACATACATACATACATACATACATACATACATA